TCTGAATTCGCATATATATGCAAAGGCGTAGACCTTGAAACGAGCAGCTAAACTCTATGCAAAGTTCTTTATATATTGCGATACGACCTTTAATACATTGACATTGTGTATTATTATATTATACAATTCCATTATTTTTAGCGTCTTTACTTAAGCTTATTGTCAGCAAAGACCAGAACTGGAATAAAATACAGAGTAAGTTTATTCAATATTTTAAATATACAATAGAATCCCGATAATTCGAAGTGGCAAAGGCATCAGTTCTTTTTTCAATATACACAGAAATTCAAATTAACGAGAATTATTGAGAACGAATTTCCTTCAATCGATTTAGCGGGGTGTGAATTATCGAGACTCGACTGTATTTCAATAAATTTGTACATGAAATTCTTGTGTTTTCATTTGGAGCACTGCAGCAATTGATATGTTTACATTTTTATATATATTTATATCTTATTTTTTTTTTTTTAGATAAGTCTCTTTACACTCTGATTATTTTCTTCTGTTGCTGTTCACAATCTGTTTACTTTTAAATTATTGCCATAGATTAAATAGCTAAAAAAAAAAAAAAAAAAAGAAAACAAGATGTTATAGAAAGTAGTATAAAATAGCTTTAAAAAAAAAAAAAAAAATAAATAAAAAAAAAATAAAATCATTCTAATGTTTCTTTAATTAAGCTTTGGATTTTTCAGTCCAGCCCAGCGCTGAGTCAGAGCCACATTTGTTGTGGCTTATTAAATAGCTGTCATGGCAACCGCAATTCCCAGTACCCAGTACCCAAGACCCAAGACCCAGCGACCGGAAGGCAGAGCCTAACCAAAATTGAGCCCTAGACACAACAAACCGAAAGGATTTCTCAAATTAAAACTCATCAAAGAACTAAAAGCAAAAGAGATCGAAATAAAAATAAATCAAGGTAGGTACAAATTATGGGCATAGAAAAATTAGAAGAGCTGCAGACGAAATAACTAACAAAAAACAACAAAAACAGCAGCAGCAGCAGTAGAAACCATTAGCAGGCAGCAAGAGAAGCAACAGCAGCAGGAGGAGGCGACAGCGGGGCGTGGCGGTCAAGGAATGACACGCATCCGGTTTTAAAATTCCAGCCGACCACAAGTTGAAGAAGAAGAGGTTGAAGACAAGCGGGCAAGCAGCGAGGAGGCAGCTGCCCAAAGGAATTCAAACACTTGAAATTAAGAGCAGAGCGAAATAAAGGCCTTTTTGGTTGGGTGTCCCCGCCAAATGACGCCAGCTGCGACGCTTGCCGCGACGCCGGCCGCGACGCTGGCCACATTGGAGCTGCAATATTTTCGTGCCATCTCGTTCTATCGCCGGCGCAGCTACGAGCAATGCGCCGAGGTGTGCAACGCGCTGCTCCAAGCGGGCCACGACAACAATGTCCAAATCTTTGCCAAGCACGAGCAGCAGCAGCAGCAGGAGGAGGCGCAGCAAGAGCAACAGCAGCAGCAGCAGCAGACGGAGCACGAGTCCAGCCGGGGCTATAAATACGGTAGCCATTTGCAGCGAATTGGCCCGCGGCGAAGACGCGGCGAAGCGGCAAAGGATGGCGGCACAGGCCAGCCCGTGGCATCCATAATGCCCACTTGGCTGATGGAGGGCGTCTGGCAGCTAAAGATGCGCGCGCTCACACAGCGCGTCTACTTGGACGATCTCGAGGTGGACGATGCGGACGATGGGGGTGAGTGGGAGGGAAGCAGAGAATGTGATACGTTGAAAATGAAATGAAATGAAATGAAAAATGAATCTGTTAGAGAAACGTTTTATATAGAAGCTTTTTATAAGACATTTAGAGGAGTGCTTCTACTACTACTACTACTGCTATTTCTACCATTACTACTACTACACTACTATCTTTACCATTACTACTACTATAGTACTATCTTTACTATTACTACTACCATACGGCTTTTACGACTAATTCTGTAATACTACTACTACTACTATTTCTACCATTACTACTACTATACTACTATCTTTACCATTACTACTACTATACTATTATCTTTACTATTACTACTACCATACGGCTTTTACGACTAATTCTGTAATACTACTACTACTACTACTACTATTTCTACCATTACTACTACTATACCACTATTTTTACCATTACTACTACTATACTACTATCTTTACCATTACTACTACCATATAGCTTTTACGACTAATTCTGTCATACTACTATTACTTCTACTACTACTACTACTACTATTCTTACTACTTCAATACTTCTACTACTCCTAATTCTGTAATACAACTTCTAGTACTACGACTCCTACTATTTTTACCATTTCTACTGCCATACTGCTACTATTACCACTTCTAGTAATCCTACTAAAATTTTTACCATTTCTGCTGCCATACTGCTACTTGTCCTAATTATGGAATACTACTTCTACTACTACCTTACTACTATTATTACAATTACTATACTACTACTACTACTACCTTACTACTATTATTACAATTACTATACTACTACTACTACTACCTTACTACTATTATTACAATTACTATACTACAACTACTATTACCTTACTACTATTATTACAATTTCTATACTACTACTACTACTACAACTAATATTTACCATTACTACTACTACTTAATATACTATAACTATTACTATTACTCTCTCGTCCAATGGCCAGCCAACGAGGAGGTGGAATTCGAGCGCATTGCCACTGCAGCTCGTCCCGGCACCAGCATCAAGACCGCCTTTCAGCCGCGACCCAGCACCAGTCAACGGCGTGGCACGGCTTTGAGCCACTCGAGCGGCAGCACACGCCCCGGCTCGGCATTGACGCGCCCGGGCACGGCCATCAGTCGGCCGGGCTCCTCGCTGGGCGCACGTCCCGCCTCGAGATGTGGCACCGCGTCCCGGGTGCGCGCCACCTCGGCGGCCGCCTTCAATGTGGGCGATGCGACGGCCGCGTTGTACCAGGCCTCGCGGCTGAATCCTACCATCTATGCGGAGAGGGAGGCGATTGTGAAGGCGCTGTTCCAGTTCCTCTACTACCACGAGGCGGACGTGCAGAAGGCGCATTCGCTCTGCCAGGCCGTGCTCGATGTGCAGCGCCAGCGACCAGGCCAGGCGGCACTAGCTCCACCTGCGGATGCCGCCCGCACAGACTGGTGGTGGCAGCAGCAGATGGGCCGCTGCCTGCTGGCTCTGCACTATCCACGCCGCGCCGAGAGTCATCTGCAGCAGTCGCTGGCAGCCTTTCCGCATCCGGACACGTATCTCCTGCTCTCACGACTTTATCAGCGACTGCGGCAGCCGGAGCGCTCGCTGGTGCTCATCGGCCAGGCGGCGGAGCGACAGCCATTCGATGTGACCTTCAGGCTGGAGCAGGCACGCATTCACGCAGCCATGTCCCAGCAGGAGGATGCACTGCAGCTGTACCGCCTGGCCGCTCGGCTGCAGCCCATCAATGTGGAGGCGTTGGCCAGCATTGCCGTCAGCTACTTCTACGACAACAATCCGGAGATGTCACTGATGTACTACAGACGCATCCTCTCCCTGGGCGTCCACACCGCGGAGCTCTACTGCAACATAGCCCTCTGCTGTCTCTATGGCGGTCAGATTGATTTGGTGCTGCCGTGCTTTCAGCGCGCCTTGTTGATGGCCACGCAGCCGGAGCAGAAGGCGGACATTTGGTACAATCTCAGCTTTGTGGCATTGGTCAGTATGATGCATAACCAAATACCCTGTAATCATCGGAAACGGGAGTATATATGTATGGATTGCATCTGACAAGCACTCTACTATTATTATGACCCATTTTAGTCAGCAAAGATCTATATATATATATATATATCAGACCACCTAGTCAATCAATTTGGTTCTCTTATCTAATCTCTTTAATATTTTTGCAGACATCGGGTGACTTTAACCTGGCCAAACGCTGCCTGCAGCTCTGTCTCACCGCCGATGCGCGTGACGGAGCCGCGTTGAATAATTTGGCCGTGCTGTCTGCCCATGGTGGGGATGTAATGGGTGCCAAGTCCTATCTGAATGCGGCCAAGGACGTGCTGCCCGAGGCAAGCGAGGTGAACGCCAATCTGCAGTACATGGAACTCAACTACAAGCTTTAGATCTCGGTTTATTTTGCACACGAATAAAGATACTGAGTGAAACCGAATCATGGTCTTTGGAGCCAGTCGTAGATGGTGCTGAGGCCCACTTTGGTCACTGCGCTGGCCTCCACAATGGTCACCTGTTGTCGTATCTGTTTCTGCAGCTTGGACATTTGCAGCATGAGCAACGCCTCGTTGCGCATCTGGCGGTAGGAGTAGTCCATTTTGGTTAACACGAGGAGAATTTTAACCTTTTGTAGACGCGGCTCGGTGAGAATCGAATAGAAGAGCACGCCTGCAATCAAATTTATTGTGAACGAACACTTGATTTGGGCTTCTTTACGCACCTGCAGCTGAGATCTGACACAGATTAGAAGCATCCACCACATAGATAAGCTTTTTGACATCCTCAAAGTATTGACTTTGACGCCACAGAGGCGCCATGCTGCCTCCAATTTCCAGCACCTGTATAAACTTAGGCAGGTGTTTGCCGCCATGCGGTGTGGCTACGGCATCTGTTGTTGGCGGCGGTGGTGGTTTGTGCCTGTCAGCATTTGCGGACTTTTCAGGAAAGTAAATGCGAAATATGCCCGTACCAATTGTGGGCATGGAATAGCTCGTCTCATCTATAGAATCTGGCTCCTGCAGAGCCTTGAGCAGATGAGTTTTACCCGCACGCTTTGGTCCTAGGCAAATGCAAGACATTGTGTATGCTATAATTTTGTTTCATTATCTGTATCTATTGATTTAACAACCAGACTAGCCTTAGCAACCATTTTAAAAAACCGTTGTATTCAACAGTGTCGCCATCTGTCGTATAAAAATTAACACTGCGTATTTTTAATCGCGATAGTTTTAACTCAGTCTAGTAGCGATAGTTTCAGTGCTGAACAGTGTGCTTATGTTGTTTTGTTGCCGACTCACTTCGCTCATTGCATTATTCTATAAAATTCAAATTTGAACACATTTCTACTCATTTCTTGTCAATATAATTCTCTTGTATAAGAAATTTGTGAAAGTTCAAGAATTGTATTAAGATACATCATTATTAGCGCTTTACTTGACACCAGCCAGCAAGCGCAGCGAAGCCGTTGAGCAACTATTCCCCAACAGTTGACCATATGTTTTTCGAAACAAAAAAGAAGCAGAATATTAAGTATTTGTATTGACCGCCGCAAAATGAGTGTATTTGAAACGAAAAACGATAAATGCGGCTTCCACAAACAATTTGCGGTGGACATAAATGGGAATAATACAGAATTTGTGTTTCACGAATTCGAAAACAAATGGATGCTGCTGATCACACAGCTGGGCAAATTGCCGGCATTCTACAATGTGGCATTTGATGTGAAGCGCGACCATCGAGTGCTGCCCTTTACGCATGGCCCAGTGGATGATCCAGAGTTCCATGTCTCGGTGCCTGTGACAATGACCTGCTGCATGGGCGTCGACTCGGATGAAATACGCGGTGGCATACAGTTTTTAATCAATAAGACGGCGATCAACAAGTGTCCATCAGAATTACTCATCGCGCTGGGATTGAAGAAAATTGAATCGGAAGATCTGAGAGCCATTGCCAAAGTGTTGGAAAACGGCATATTTTAAGCGACGACTCTATACCTTTTAAGCCCAATAAAAATTACAACCATTTTGGAATCACTTTAAAGTAAACTTTTATATTTCCTCGCGTTTGTACATTAAAACGTGTACGAATGTGGGAAGATTACAAAATTTTACTACACATACACGGCGGATGTTGTTGCCTCTGTACGTTAGTTGTTGCAGTAGTTTTAGCTGCTGCAGCTACACTTTAATCGAACAGACCGAAGCCCATGTCGTCGTCGGAGACATCAGACTCCTCTTCCTTCTTCTTCTCCTCCTTCTTGGACTCGGCAGCGGGCGCGGCGGCAGCAGCTGGTGCAGCAGCACCGCCAGCTGGGGCAGCTCCAACGCCGGAGCCAATGTTGGTGATCAAGTCCTTGACATTGATGCCCTCCAACGCCTTGGCAAACAGACCAGGCCAGTAGGGCTCCACCTCAACATTAGCGGCCTTCAGGATGGTCGAGATTTTCTCACCCTACAAATGATAGGAAACAAAAATATAATTAGCGTGCAGTCCAAACATTACGTATGCAAAGTAATATCCACAAATCAACAATTTAACACGGAGGATTGTCGTTAGTTTTGCAGATTTGTTTTGAGTTCGATTTTTAGCAACTTACGGTGACGGCGACATCATCATCGACGAGGATGAGGGAGGCGTAGACGCATGCGAGCTCAGCTTTTGTCGACATATTTAAACTGTTAGCTTAATTAATAATTGGTGCAAGTTGCCAAAAATTAATGTTTTATAATAATCGGCCTTAGCTCGAAAGAGAACAAGCACACGGAACAGAATCCTAAACCGGAAAGAAAGGTAGCTGTTAAGTTGGTTGCGCCTTAAAGTGTTTTGTAGTCATTCGCTGTGAATAGCAGACATTTCACTTGCCAACACTGGCAGAAAATGTAAACAAATGCCTATCGATTGATAGATACAATACCAAAGACGCGCGTAAAATGGAAGGCATAGGTATTAAACAAGAAAATGATTCGATAATAGAATCAAAGCCAAAAATAGAACAAGAGGAAGATCATGTGGATGTTGATAAGATCAGCTCGCTAAAGGCACTTGGGCCGTTCATTGCAGCTCGCGAAAATAGTAAGAATACAGTTTATCTGAGTGATGTGCCAGCGATATGCAAAGACCAGCCCTGTATGTTGGGCGTCGACGAGGCGGGCCGTGGTCCTGTGCTGGGACCCATGGTATATGGCATCTCCTACTGTCCGCTGAATAGTAAAGAGGCTTTAGTCGAATTGGGCTGTGCAGACTCCAAGCAGTTGACAGAGGAAAAACGTGATATCATTTTTAACGATATGAATACGCTGGAGTATGCGAACAGCTGCATTGGCTGGGCCGTGGAAATCATTTCGCCAAATGTTATCAGCAACAGCATGTACAGACGCAGCAAGTGCTCGTTGAACGAGGTGTCCATGGATTCCGCAATGGGTCTCATACAGCGTGCAATCGATGCAGGTGTTAATATAGCTGAGGTCTATGTGGACACGGTGGGTCCGCCAGAGAAGTATCAGGAGAAACTGCTCAAACGATTTCCAAACTTCAAGATAACAGTGGCCAAGAAGGCTGATTCTACCTATCCGATTGTCTCGGCGGCCAGTATATGCGCCAAGGTAACCCGTGATCATGCTTTAAAGGTCTGGCAGTTTCCCGAAGGCCTGGTCATCAAAGATAATGCATTTGGCAGTGGCTATCCTGGCGATCCGGTCACCAAACGTTTCCTCACAGAAAACATTGATTTGGTTTTCGGTTTTCCGCGTCTGGTCCGGTTCAGTTGGTCAACGGCAGAGAATGCGCTGGCCGACAAGGCCTACGAAATGGAGTTCGATGAGCCGGATACGGAGAAGCCCAAGTACGCAGGCACAAAGCTGACCAAGTTCTTCAAGGGTACCACCAAATCGGGCGAAGTGAAGCGTGAGGAATGCCGCCTCTTCAAACAGTGCCACTTGGATAATGTTACGGACTTTTAGATTGGTTTTCAGTAATTATTTATAAGTTTAAAGTATGTTCAATAAATTTAAGATTGAGAGAATGTCATTTGGCCAATTCACTTTCTGGTTAAGCAAACAAAATTGGCAGCACTTTTTTAGCACTCATTCGATGATTCGATATCGTTACCTATTTCCCCCTTCCAAATAAATACCAGATTTGCATTGTTTTCGAGCTTTAATGAATTGTAGCAGCTGTTAACGCCATTCTTTAAAATTATAATCGTTTACACACTACGTTGGGATCCAGTTACACTGTTCGAATGTAAGCGTAAATCGGGTTGTCATCCATTTGAACTTGGATCCGTTTCCGTTTACTAGCAAACTAACTAAACATTTGTTTGCGTGCATTTAATATGCTTAGGTCTAACGATAAAGGGTATTTTCAATTAAGATTTGATTGGGGACTGGACCATTATACTGCGTTGATTGTATAGAAAATAACAAAATGCATCGTGTTATACTAAACGGGGTTCTTTCTGTATAAAAAAACTTAGAAACATATGGAGCTTACGGCTAAATTAAAAGCGCATTTCCTGCAGCTGGCTGCGATTGTGGCGCAAACTCTGTTCACGACGCCCACGAACCACAAATCCAGGGCATAGAAACTATATTGACTTGAAATTGGGCGACAATAGAAACTTATTGAAGGATCGTGGATGATAGAACATTGAAGTAAACATTCAAAAACAGAAGCGGGAAACACATTAGAATTTAAGCTTCAATACACATAACTTAAATGGTGCTGAGAGTTGCTGGCAGATGTATCGAATGGAAGTCCTGTAGATCAGAACTTTCTCAGATCAAGGACAAATACGCTGCCATCCGATGCACTGGCGCCCACTTTGGTGCCCTTGGAGTTCCAGCACACCTCGAAAATGCCACCGGTTCCCTTATAGCTGTGCACCAGCTGTCCCGTCTGCGTGCTCCAGATGTGCACGCACTTGTCAAAGCTGCCCGACGCCAGATGCTTGCCATCCGGACTGAAGGCCACGGAATAGACGGGTTCTGTGTGCTTGGTTAGGGTATGTATGCAGCTGCCACGCTCCACGTCCCACAGACGGACCGTCGAGTCGAATGAGGCTGAGGCGAGAATAAGGTTCGTATTCGGATTGTTGGTGCCGGGTCCGGTGGGTGACCATTTTATCGTGTAGATCTCCTTGGAATGCGCTTGCAGATCATGACAGCAACGATCGCGCGTCATACTCCAGATTTTTAGTGTCATGTCGTCCGAGCAGGACGCCAATAGCTGGCCCTGCGGACACCATTTGATTGCATTGACCTCGTTCGTGTGACCACGGAACGTTTTTATCGGTTCGTTCATGCCCAGCCGGCACACGTGTATCCTCTGATCCGTACTGCACGATGCAAATGACTGATTAGATTGCCAGTCAACGTCCAGTGCAGGCGCACTATGGAACGCAAACTGTTGTGTGCACTGGCCCGTGGATGCGTCCCAGATGATTGTGGTTTTATCCACGCCCGCAGACAAAATGTAATTGCCGCATTTGTTCCATTTAAGCGCAAAGATGGGCCCCTTGTGCTGCCCCAATGTGGAGGCCAAACCGCCTTCTGTATTCCAAATGCGTGCATAGCCATCGTAGCTGCCGGTGGCCAGAAGCGAGCCGTTGCACTGCAAAAAAAATAATTTTAATTGTCAATATATATTTATGGTAGTTGAAGTGCCAAAAGAATCAAACATACATTCCAGTCCAAAGATGTGACATCTTTATTGCTGGGCACCTCAGCGCCTCCTTTCTGTATGCAATGTCGCAGCACCAGCTGACTGGAGTTAGCATTTGCATCGGACATGTCCCAAATGCGAGCAGTACTGTCGCCAGAGCCACTGGCTAACAGATCCCGGCTGGGATTCCAGGCGCAGATGAACACTTCACTTTCGTGGCCACGCAGCACGCGTGCTTTCGATTCAGGTATCTCAATGCTCTGATCAATGTCCATCGCCTCGACAACGGTGCTGCCTGGTGTGCCAGAGGTGGTGCCACCACCACCACCTCCACCACCACCGCCGCCGCCGCCACCTCCCCCACTCCCGGATGTCGTGCTGCTGGGCACCGCACTTTGAGCAGACGTCGGGCAGGTGGTCTGCACATTATTTCCTTGAGCGCCCACTCGTGTTGCTGCCGTACCGCCTGCTCCACTGGGCGCCTTGGCACCCGATGCTGCAGCGCCTGCAGCTGTTGCACCGGCTTCCGTATTGGAGGCGGCGGGTACTGCGGGCGTAACACCTGTAGCCGGCTGTTCCACGCTGCTGGAATTACTACTATTGCCGTTTGTGGACGTGGACGAGGCAGCATCATCTGTGCTTGTTGTATTTGGATATGCCGTGCTGCTGGCAGCTCCAGGCTCATTGACGCCCGTCTTTTTGTTAGCGCCTGCAGCTCCTGCTCCTGCAGCGCTGTCTGCGTTCGCGCTGGCCGCAGCTGTCGCCGAGTTGGTGGCTGCGCCGGCTGCTGTGCCGCTGGCATTGTTGGTGCCACTGGCCGTGGCATTATTGTTGGATGCTGTATTGCCACTGGAGTCCACCTCACTGGTGTCGGCGCTGCTGCTGCCGGTGGGAGTGCTGGTGCCCGTGCTGGCATTGGCTCCCTTGCCACCGGCATTTGCCGCCGAATTGCCTGTTCCCGGCTCAATTTTAATCTCAGTTTTTGCATTGCTGTTCGCATTGGCAGCGTTGGCCGGCGTGTTGGCATCCACTGCACCCGGTTTGCACGGCTCTGTTTTGACTATCGGCTTGAGCGGTTTCACCTCCGGCATGACGGCATCTATCAGACTAAGTCCTTCAATGGGTCGCGCCACCTCCCCATCTTCGCCCACACTCCACTCCACCTCTGTGTAGAGCAGACCCTTCTGCAATATGGTGAGCAGGGCAGCTGGTGGCACTAGGGCTCCATTAATATTACTTTGCGAGATGTGTGACTCGATTCCAAACACATACGCCGAATGCAGAAAACCTAGTAGTAATCAATAGGGGATTGGGCGGTTAGCTTCAATCGGCGTCTCTTGAATGTTCTCTGAAGACACTCACCCGACTCCTGCAGATAT